ACTGCCTTTTTGGATATGCTTTCTCAGGTGTGTTTTCATATGATGCTGTTTCTTTTTTTTAACATGTCACCCGTCATTAGGGTCCCTTGTCTTCCTTCCTTATGTTGAGCATTACATTTCTCAGTTGAGGGCTGGTGTTAGCATGCCTCATCTTCCATGGACTTCTGATCTTTATGCTTTAGCTTATCAGTAGCTCCTCAACGTTTTCTCAACACCCAGCAGTTAGTCACTTTTGCTCATGTGGGTAACTGATAATCGTATCCATATCTCCCACTATCATCTTACCTTTAATCCGTGAGGGATTTTATTTTATATAATATTTTAAAATATTATTCTGGGCAATTTTGGGTGTGACAATTGCTGAGATATTAATGTAAGTTTATGTTATTGTTGTGAAATATTTCACCATGTTTATGATAGTAACTCTGTATTAGAATTCTATTGTTAAGTTAGAATAAATGATTTCACGTTATTATCCAAACCACATGAAACGACCGTAGCTGTGTTTGATTTTTTCCACGAACAACATGGTTTAAAATGGAGTAACCTCATATAGAAGACGATTTGAAAATATGAGATATATATGCATTGGAATTTATTTCATTATTTTTTTCTCATGAAACGCAACTTTCTTTTTACTTCAATAATTAAAACTATCTAACGAGTTTTGTTTATTTGTTTGTTATTAAACACAAAACTAAACAATAGACTATCCGTACCGACCATATGACCCAGGCAACAATACGCAACAATAGACTATCAGAGCCATCCACATGACCTAGGCAACAATACGCAACAATAGACTATATTCGTACCATCCACATCACCCAGGCAACAACATGTAACTATATACTACCTGTACCATCCACATGACCTAGGCAACAATATCCAACATAAATGTAACACAGCCGCAGCCCCAAAGTGCGAAGCGCAATTTATATTTGTATTTTTTACGACAGTGGGACTCGAACCACACATATTCTGCACATTAACCTCTAGCCTACGGCCGGTTCGTTCTTCATTTTAAAATGTGTACAACCATTTAGTACAATTGTACCAGGTAAAGAATATGTAAATCTAGCATTTCTCAAGTACGGCATTTTACAATTTTCAATTGATTTTTAATATGTTTTAACAGTGGTACTTTGTGTTATTCAGTACTGCACGAGTTTCTCAAATATAGTGCATTTCTCTACATTCAACTTTAGATATAAGGTGATGTTTAACATGTTTTAACAGTGGTACTTTGTGTTATTCACTAGTGCACGTGTGACTCAAGTATAGTGTTTCTCTACATTCAACTTTAGAAATAAGGTGATGTTTAACATGTTTTAACAGTGGTACTTTGTGTTATTCAGTACTGCACGAGTTTCTCAAATATAGTGCATTTCTCTACATTTAACTTTAGATATAAGGTGATGTTTAACATGTTTTAACAGTGGTACTTTGTGTTATTCACTAGTGCACGTGTGACTCAAGTATAGGGCATTTCTCTACATTCAACTTTAGAAATAAGATGATGTTTAACATGTTTTAACAGTGGTACTTTGTGTTATTCACTAGTGCATGTGTGACTCAAGTATAGTGCATTTCTCTACATTCAACTTTAGAAATAAGATGATGTTTAACATGTTTTAATAGTGGTACTTTGTGTTATTCAGTACTGCACGAGTGTCTCAAGTATAGTGCATTTCTCTACATTCAACTTTAGATATAAGGTGATGTTTAACATGTTTTAACAGTGGTACTTTGTGTTATTCACTAGTGCACGTGTGACTCAAGTATAGGGCATTTCTCTACATTCAACTTTAGATATAAGGTGATGTTTAACATGTTTTAACAGTGATACTTTGTGTTATTCACTAGTGCACGAGTGTCTCAAGTATAGTGCATTTCTCTACATTCAACTTTAGAAATAAGATGATGTTTAACATGTTTTAACAGTGATACTTTGCGATAATCACTGCTACATACGCATCTGAAATGTATTGTATTCTTCATTGTTCCATTTCAACTACAAATTAATATTTAACATGTTTTAACATGTTTGCGTTATTAATTGCTACATATGTATCTCAAATATAGTGTATTTCTTTACATCCAACTTCATATAATATAAAACACTTTCTTAACTTCTGCTACCTGGCGACGAAAACATAAATTATTAATAACTCTCATTTAGTTATCTCAATTATTTGAGTATTTTAAGTTTGATCTGAGCAGGATATTTAAATCTACAGTTATAGAAAGCAAACGAATTATATATTGGAAGCCTTGGGTATAAGTATAGGTTTTCATCTTTCGTCTTTTGTTGTAATATTACAAGATGTAAGAGTTTGCCAAAACTCAGGTCGTTAAAAAACGTTTACTTGTGATGTCTTTGTGCGTGTTTTAACGTAATTAGAAATCGTTCGTTACCATGAATGCGGAATTGGATGTTTCTTGTGCTTCAACAAGCAACGTTACACATAATTGTCATGTCATAACTGAAAGAGGTATAATGTAGCCATTGTAATTTCATTGTTATAGAAGCTAAAAGACCTTTAAGGTATTAATTTACGATACAATGCATGGGTGTTTTTCTCATTTTTCATCAATTATTTAATTCATTAGAAGCTGGTATTAGTAACAATCCACATTGGCTCTGAATGAGATCAGTGTGGAATATGATGAATAATAAATATAAACAATGAAACTAAAACTGCCAAAAATACCCGAATTTATATGTATAAATTTACAATATATATATATTCAAGTATTTATACACAAATCACAAAAATATACATTTGATCCAAGAGCGTAAACCGCATATATGATATATACATATATAATTTTAGTACGCTTCACAAAAAATGCTTTCTAACCGGTTTCAAATACGAATACCACGAAACTTGAGTATGGAAGCACATTATGCTAATATAATGCTAAATTGGCAAACCACGATTTATAAGGATAATGAAGTGATTTATTTTTAAGTGAACATAAAACACGTTTCGACAGAACATTGCTCTGAAGATACCCGAGGAAACTTGAGTTTGTAAGGAATAGTGTTGGCATTAACATTTTAAGAAATGGCTGAACACTTAATATTTGAACTAAACCCAAGTGAAACAAAGGCAACTTAATTACAACCGCTTTTAACCGGTTTCCTTCAAGTGACAAATAATGTGACGAAATCGTAGTAGGTTTATTTATTTGTTTGTATTGAATTTTGAACAAAGTTACTTGAAGACTGTCAGTGCTAACCTTCCCTAATTTTGAAGTGATAGACTAGATGGAATGCAGCTTGTCAACACCACCCACCAGCAACTCTTGCGCTGCTCTTTACCAAGGAATAGTGGAATTGACCGTCACATTATAACGCCCAAACGGTTCAAAAGGGCGAGAATGTTTGATGAAAGGTTTTGATCCCGCGACCCATAGATTGCAAATCGAGCACCCGAATCACCAGGTCAAATCACAATAGAACTATAAACATAACACGCAGAAGTTGATAAAACCAAATAATTTGAATACATGTAAGTTTAATGATGTTTTTCCATAAATTATGTAGAAACACATACCAAATAAATGAATACTAAAAGATATAACAAAGAATATAATAGAACGACTTTTAGTGTGTTTTTCGCTTACTTTTAAAATATTGCGTCGAAAGCAAATCTATTAAAAACAACCGATTTGCAAAGTTCAGTATCATATAAAGTTTCGGAAGTTATTTCACACTTATTAGATATATTCATTATTTCACACTTATCATTTATATTCGTTATTTCACACTTGTTAGCTACATTCATTATTTCACACTTATTAGATATATTTATTATTTCACACTTATTAGCTATGTTGATTATTTCACACATATTAGCTATGTTGATTATTTCACACTTATTAGATATATTCATTATTTCAAACTTATTAGCTATAGTCATGATTTCACACTTATTAGATATATTCATTATTTCACACTTATTAGCTATAGTCATTATTTCACACTTATTAGATACATTCATTATTTCACACTTATTATCTATAGTTATTATTTCACACTTATTAGATACATTCATTATTTCACACTTATTATCTATAGTTATTATTTCACACTTATTAACTATATTCATTATTTCACACTTATTAGATACATTAATTATTTCACAATTATTAGATATATTCATTATTTCACACTTATTAGATATATTCGTTAAGAAAATATGAACAAATAAAATACATAAAAAAATTCATAACTGCAGCGAGGGGGAGAAAAGATAATATAGTATATGCTCCAGGCAATCATTCTTAAATATCATATTGCTGTTGTATAGAAAAGTCTAAATTAACTACCACAAGGTTCATAATAAGCGTATTCTGTAGCTATGAATGAAACAGATGGAGGGGGGGGGGGTGTCCAAGATTGAAGGAAGGTTCAATGAATAGGAAGACTTGTTGATTAAACTTCAAACTTTATTGAAACTTTTGCAACTTATTGGAAACAGGGAATGATAATCTGAGGAAAAAAGGGATCTTTAAGTACGGTTATAGAATTCTTAGCAGCGCTTCTAGTAGAAGTAATTACATTAATGATTTTTTTCATTATTTGCTTTGTGAAAGATTACAATACAACATTTAAATATGTATATTGTAGAATTTGAAACACTCGCCATCTGGACCCTTTAACCATGGCTGAAAAATTATTTTGTTTTTATTTTTGAAATGTATTTGTTTTCCACCATTAAAGGAAGCAGTCCCTTAATTTTCCGTTTTAATCTTCAAAAGTTACATATTAGCATATTGCTTTTGCACTACAAAAGTTAGTGGCATATAAAATTGGCAATCAAATTATATGAGAAGCAACTTCTCCGTATATATATATATGGTGATATTAATTTTGTTAGAAAAGCTATAATATATTACGACCATAAAAATATATTACAGATCACTTTTTCTTCTGATTACTTTCTAAAATTATCTTTCTTTTCTGTATCATATTTCTCTTGGCTTTCGAGGGCTGCAGCTCTTCAACCAGAAGCTCTCCACCTTCTTCATCAACGACGAATGAGGATCAGTATCACGTTACTAGCTCTGTACCTTCAACAACGTTACGAAGGATCGTTTGTCAGAAAGGAGCCTCATTTGTGTCTAAAGGAGCAACAACAAACGTTTAGAATCACAAGTCTTTGTTATTTAAGTAACTTAACAATTAATCTTTTCAAATCCTATTTATTTTCGTTGTAGTCTAGACTGATTTTCTGAATAAATTAGCCAGCGGTACATAAATGCTATCCTTGTTCCTTTCAATTTATCTCAGCTTTAGAAGAAATAGTACGTTTTTATTTTTTTAGTTACAAGTTTGATCACACCCACACATATTTAGCACTGAAAAACGCCTTTTGTACCAGATTGGCGTGATTAATACGTATTGGTTTGGTTATTGAGTCATTAGCATATATATAACACCTCAACACACTTTATAGGTTTCTTCTTTAATTGAAATATATAGCGGTGGATTCTATAGATAACAACCTAACCAGCTGATAACCCTTTCTCTGTAACCACCAGTTGTACGTGAGGAAACCAATATGCTATCATATTCATTTGAATTCAGGTTTCATTTTAGATTTTAATAATTTACCAAAGAGGAGGTCAACCGGATGTTGAAGTTTGGTCTAAATAAAGTGGTCAGTTAGTGCATCGTCCACCATCCCAGAAACCAGGAAAGTTGTACATTTATTTTAATGGTAGAAAAAATTCGAATGACTCCAGAATTTCACTAAACCGTCAAAAAGAGCTCTTTAAAATTTGTTTTGTAATAAATTTTAATGTTGGGAAGAAAATGTATAGTGTTCTTTTACAAAGTGTAATTACTTTTCACAATTTCATCTTACCAAATGAAGTCAAATCCGAATGACAAAAAACAATTATACTATCAATTTTAAGAACGTTAGAAATTATGATATTTCATACATATGTTAGGAAATTTTCATTCTTAACACTAACAAAATGTACAGAATGTTTTTGGTTCGCTGATTGTCAGCTTTGCCAATTACAATACAAGGACGACAGCTCAGTATAGGTTTGGACACCAAAGAATTAACCGTTCTTCCACAGGCTAACAACAAGAGAGTTCTCTCCCAGTCTTTAGGCTTAACACGCTAAAAAATCAGATTTCGATACTCATAGTTGTCAGAGCACAAAATAGCCCATTGTGTAGCTTTGTGCATAACTAAGTACAAAGTGAATATCAAAAAAATTGTATGCACTAGGATACATCTAAAACCGCACGGTTACATAGTAATAAAATACAATACAATACTTAAGTTTGTAAAAGTATATAGGCGTCTTCATTATAAATAACTATCCCGCTGTATCTTACGTTTTACAATAAAATGTATATTGACTGGAAATAAGTACCCGACACACATGCACGATTTCAACATTAGACAAAGTCAAGCTGTCAGAGAAGTGCAACAAACCTAAACATGTACGGAGAGAAACAGTGTTCCCTCTATAAATAAAATTATCTCTGTAAGTTCTAATATAACGGCAAACTTTTTTAACGCAAATACATGATGGCCAAGGGATGGAGCCTCACATTTTATAAACTGAGTATTATATACAACTAGAGACTGACATAGTCAGAATAAATACAGTTTAGAAACATTGTACTATTGCAATTTTCTTAAATAAACTGTACATCTTTTGACCGTATAATTTACTGGACTGTAGATGTCTTGATAAAAACGAGAGAGTGATAGAAATATTTACAACTATTTCTTTTCCAGGAGAGAAAATTTGATTGTTTATTTATTCATTTTTTTCTCAGAGCTGCTCGTGCTCTCTGCTCAAGCCGTCCATAATTACAACAAGGCTGAACTGTCAACTCTTGGGTTATTCTAATCGAAAAGTGGGAGTGATCGTCACATTATGACGCCCCTACAGTTGAGAGGGCGGTGATGGGATTTGAAACTGCGGTACTCAGATTGCGAGTTGAGCGCCATAACCATCAGGCTATACCAGGCCCAAATTGTTGGTTTGTTTATTGTTAAACATTTATGTAAACATTATAGAAAACATTAATTTATATTAGTTTGTTAGGCCAATCGTGGTTCGTGGTTAGCATAACGAACTGGAAATCGGTGGTTCCATGGTTCGTATCCAATTATTGGCCATGGACACGTGATAAGAATGATGGTCAAATCGCACTGTTCCAGTAGAGTAGCCCAATAGTTGGAGATAAGTGTTATTGGGTAGTTATCTATCAGTCAGGGACGGCCAGTGGAGATAGCCCTTGTGTAACCTTGCGCGAGCATCTGAAACAAACTAACAAATACCATAATCGATTAGATTTTGCTTTTCCCACGTTGTTGGCTACACCCTATTTTAATTTTTTTCTGTCCTTCATGTGCATCGCCTTGTTCTTTGAGACCTCTTTATCTGAAAAGTTATATACGTAAAAATGTATAGAACAGCGATATAAACTCATATTTTTCACATTGTCAAACCAGTATACCAATAACTTCCTAGATTTCTTACCGTTCTACTAAAAAATCAAGTACATTTAAAATGTTCTTTTAAGTTGTGAAAGATAAAATAAAAAAAAAACAGTCCGCCTATGTACCATATTCTGGACATTAGTTTTATTATGATTAAAATATTCCAAATTGGAAACGCGTTTTTTTTTCATTGATGTTAAAATTGTACTTATTTGTGTCACATGATGGTCACTAATATCTTGGGCCCGGTATGGCCAGGTGGTTAGGGCAGTCGACTCGCAATCTGCGGGTCGCGGGTTTGAATCCCCGTCCCACCAAACATGCTCGCCCTTTCAGCCGTGGGGGTGTTATAATGTGACGATCAATCCCATTATTCGTTGGTAAAAGAGTAACCCAAGAGTTGACGGTGGGTGGTGATGACTAGCTGCCTTCCCTCTAGTCTTACACTACTAAATTAGTAGTGTAATTTGTAATTAAGCATAAAGCTACACAAAGGGCTATCTGTGCTCTGCCCCCACGGGTATCGAAACCAGGATTCTAGGGTTGTAAATCCGCAGACATACCGCTGTGCCACTAGGGGGGGCTCAAAAAGCAAACAAAAATAAAAGGAACAACTTAGTTTTGGTTAAATATCCTACCAACTGGAGAGATCTTACTGGAACTCTTATCTCTGAACCTGTATATAAGACGAGAGGTAAAATCAGGTATTGTTTTAAGAATAAAAATGATCGTCTTATACACCGGAAAATACGGTACCATATATTTGATATGGCATCATGCATTTTCATATTAAAAATCTGTACTGATTCTGTTAATATCTGCCTTTAAAAATTATACATTTCAATGTGGTGTTTCATAATGAATTCCGTACTATATAAAATAAGATAAGACGTACAGTAAAATATTTATATAAGTTAAGATTCTAGCTAGTTTTTTCAGTAGTCTAAGATTGTTTGAAACAACGGTTTAAAATACGTAAAACAATATAATTGATGTATCAACATCTGCTGGTTTTCCTGTTGGTCAGCGATATGTCTACGGACTTACAACGCTAAAATCCAGGTGTCATTTCCTAGCGGCAGACACAGCAGATAGCCCAATGTGACTTTTTCTAAAACAAGCAAACAAAGCATTTTCTGACATCCAGAAGGGCTCATGTACCTTCAATCAAAATGGATTAGTTCATTAACATTTATAGAAAATACTTGTAGACAACCATAACTCTTCAACACAATTTCGCTAATGTCCAAGAACATGCCAAATAAACTTTATATTTCGTCACGATACAAATTTGATGACGAAGAACCCACTTTTCTAGAAAATAAAAGTTTGGAAACGGCTTGAATGGGTAATGAAAGAAAATGTATTATAAATGTCCAACGTTTCGATAAGATTATGCAACTATTGATGACATAACCTTAGAAGTATTTTATGCAGGTATAAAACCTGAAAACAGTTTATCAGATTTGTTTTATTATTATGATATTGGGGAAGTTAATGAATACAGTATAGGTAAACCTAGGATCTGTTAACCTATAAGAGGGCGCCAGCATCTAGTATGTAACCCTGCCATTTAATAATTTGAATTTTAACTTGAAATTCTTGTGTTTTAGTAACCTCAATAGGAATTATATAAATGAAAGTAATGAAGAAAAGTTTATTTGTAAAGTTATTAAACATTTTTTGTCATCTATTTAGTCTTGGATTGAAGAATCCAGAAATGATTTTGAAATAGCATCAGTCAACCTGAAAAATGGTGGATAAATCTCCAAATAATCCGGTCAACATTTTTCATCGAGTACTAAGTCAATAGAAAGTGGAACATATATGTTATTCATTAGAGAAAAAATAAATAAATACAGGTATCAAAATCTACCTTACCTTAGCAATATAGAAAATATTATAACAGATGATAAAACTAAATACACGGTTGTTTCGATCACAGAAGACGTGTTTTTTTATGGCAATTAACAAATCTTGACTTATGATCTATGTAATTTATATAAGATTAACAGACTAACTAAACTCATTTTATATATTCTGCTCACCTGCCCCAGTTACACAGTTTGAAGCACATTTAAGTAAGCTCATTTTATTTATTTTTCTCAACTGCTCTATATTCACGCTAATGTTACACAGTTTGAAGCACATTTAAGTAAGCTAATTTTATTTATTTTTCTCACTTTCTCCATATTCACGCTAATGTTACACAGTTTGAAGCACATTTAAGTAAACTCATTTTATTTATTCTGCTCACCTGCTCTATGTTCACGCTAATATTACACAGTTTGAAGCACATTTAAGTAAACTCATTTTATTTATTCTGCTCACCTGCTCTATGTTCACACTAGCGTTACGCCATCTGAAGCACACTTTTATTGTCAATCTTAGGTTTAACTTTGGAAATTCAGTTCTTGTTTAAATGATTTGCATGAAAATTTCTCACATAAAATGCTATCAATAACACGGATCATTCTTTGAAAATGTGACTCATTTTGTTTAAAGAACATGGAAATGTTACGGACGGTCTGTAGCCAATAGCTGTAACTGGTGAACGAACACTAGTTTTGTGTGAGTATAATTAGTAACTCCAATACCGTGTGGAAGCACTTAATAGATTGAAAGTGTTTCTTTTCCTTGTATGAACGTTTATAAAATTCTCAAAGTTATTTTTTTGTTGTTGTTTTTTTATCATTTTCCTAATATTTTTGTTATCAATTGTTATCAGTTTGTCAAATCAGTGTACTTTCAATAACGATTAAGGA